AGCTGGTTTTTTGTGTTTCTCTAGAGAACCCAATCTAACACAGTATACAATTAGGAACTGATGCTATTGAAGGAATAAGTACAAGCAGCACTGAAGGCATTGGGTGAAAAACAAGGCTCCAGGAACTGAAGGAATAGCCATTGAGATGTTTCAACAAATGGATGCAATACTGGAAGCACCCACTCATTTATGCCAAGAAATTTGGAAGATAATTACCTGGTCAACTGACTGGAAGAGACACGTTTGTGCCCATTCCAAAGAAAGGTGATCCAACAGAATGCAGAAATTATTGAACAATATCATTAATATTACATGCATGTAAAATTTTGCTGAAAATAGTTCAAGAATGGTTGCAGCAGAGACATGCCAGAAATTCGAGCCATTTCAGAAAAGGATGTGAACAAGGGAAATCATTGCTGATGTTGGATAGATCTTGGTTGGAAGAAGAGAATACCAAAAAGATGTTTACCTGTTTTTTATTGACTATGAAAAGGCATTCGACTGTGTGGATCATAACAAATTATGGATAGCATTGCAAAGAATGGGAATTCCAGAACACTTAACTGTGCTCACGAGGAACCCGTACACAGCCCAGGAGGCAGTTGTTTGAACAGAACATGGGGATGCTGCATAGTTTAAAATAGGGAAGGTGTGCATCAGGGCTGTATCTTTTCACCATATTTTTCAAACTTTAGGCTGAGCAAATAACGTAAGAAGCTGTACTACACAAAGAAGAATGAAACATCAGAGTTGGAGAAAGATTCATTAAAATCCTGCAATATGCAGATAACACAACCTTGCTTGCTGAAAATGAAAAAGACTTGAAGCACTTACTGATGCAGACTAAAAACTACAGCCTTCACTATGGACTGCACCTCAATATAATGAAAATAAAAATCCTCATAACTGGACCAGTAAGCAACATCATGATAAATGGAGAAAAGATTGTTGTTGTCAAAGGTTTCATTTTACTTGGATCCACAATCAGTGCTCATGGAAGCAGCAGTCAAAAATGATATATTGCATAGGGGAAATCTGCTGCAAAAGACCAGTTTGAAGTATTAAATAGCAAAGATGTCACTGGGAAGACTAAGGTGCCTCTGACCCAACCATGATATTTTCAATGGCCTCCAATGCTTGTGAAAGGTATACAGTGAATAAGGAATTCTTCAAATACAGAAGAATTGATGCATTTGAATTACAGTGTTGGCAAATAATATGGAATACACCATGGACTACCAGAAGAACAAACCAATCTGTCTTGGAAAAAGTACAAGAATGCTCCTTAGAAGTGAGAATGGTCAGACTTTGTGTCTTGTACTTTGATCGTGTTATCAGTAGGAACCAATCCCTGGCAAGGATATCCTTCAGGGTAAAGTAGAGGTGAAAAGAGTGAAAAAGAGGAAGATCCTCAACAAGACTCACTGACACAGTGGCTGCAACAATGGACTCAAGCACAGCAA